CAATTGAAGGGATTCCTGGAAGTCCATGCCTCAAGGAGATACAAAAAATTGTTCTCACAAGTACTGCCCACACTTTACGAAGGGCTTTATCTACGCAATATTTTTTTTTGTCAGTGGAAAGTGTCATGATGCCATTTCTAACCTTAGGACCCTGGGCGATACCCGGAAAGAAATGTGTAAACCCCAGAAATCAAAGGGAATAATAATAATAATAATAATAATAATAATAATAATAATAATAATAATAATAATAAAACACTTTAAAACTAAAACCGTTCATGTTGTGGTTGAAGCCTTTGGGCCCGATAAAGAAAGTAACTCAAGAACAAATAAAAAAAATAATTTGTACACCATTTCTCCAGAAATTAAAATAAAAGTAATTCTAACAAGCAAAGACCATATCCTTCAAAGAACGTCCTACATTTAAATTTCTTTTCTTTAATTAAGAGAGAATGACAAAATATCACATCCTTCGCTTGATCACGGTCATCGGTTATCACCTGGCATGAGATTATAAAACAAATGGAAGTCAAAAGGAATTTTCTTTTAAATCATAATAATAATAATAATAATAATAATAAATCCAAGAATGTGGCATTTAAAGACAAGCACTATTCCAATGATAATAGCAATACAATGATAATAGGAACGATTTAAAAAAAAAATGCAGATGCACATTAAGAAACTCCCTGGAAATTCGCCACTTTCTGAGATATAGAAAATTGTATTCGTAACAACTTATTAGATGCACATAAATAACTATCTCAATATAATATGCTTCATAACATTTCTAAGGAAAACCTTCCTTAACCTCAGGTCTTCGATAAAAGATTTTAAATGATTGGATCAAACAACAAATCAGGAAAAATTGAAATAGCAACAACAACAACAACAACAACAACAACAACAACAGCAGCAGCAACAACAACAACAACAACAACAACAATAATAATAATGATTTTTGCATGCAAATTTTAATCAAAGTTGCATTAATGAAGAATTGCTGACTGTGGACACACGCACATATGTAATGTTAATATATATATTTCAATATGTATTAGTATCAATAAAATATTAATTAATATATACTAAAGTAGTCATATCGATATAAATCGATTTAAAAATCTCTATGTGAATAAAGTTATTGCAGTAATTTTCTTGAGTAATGATGTACTGTGAAATTTTGAAGCAAAAATTTAGCGAAAATTATTATTCAAAGACAGAAATATAAAATATATATATGAGAGAATGTTAATATTCAACAGCCCCCCCACACACACACGAGGGATGTATGTGGCACAAGGCCGAGTTTACCGTGGTTTCTGCAAGCCCGTAAACTCGGCCCAAAATACTCCCTTAGAACCCGCATAAACGGGTTCAGGGTCTGTCCACCTCCCCGGACGAAACTTTGCCCTTCGGCACAGCTTCGTCCGGGTTCCTCTCTGCTCATGGCAGAGAGTTCGACAGTAACGAACAGTCTATCTGTTCATAAAATAAGAGAGAATGTTTATATTAAATTATTGTAAAAGGTGCGAATAATAATGACAGAAATATTACGAATAAATGATGTTGTTGCTGGTAATGATGATGATGGTGGAGATGATGGTGGTTTGAGCTGGTGTTGGTGATGATGATAATGATGGCGATAACTGTCATCATCATAGCAATAATATTGATGTTAGTTAATACTTCATGCTATACTATTACTGATAATGATTAAAACAGTAAAATTCTAATTAGGGGGAAAAATACAACTATCGTAATAAAATCATTAATAACAATAATGCAACCTAATATTAATACAACCAACATTATAACATCATTATTAATAATAATAACAATAATAATAATACAGCCTTTATAATAATGCATCATCGTAATAACAGTATTATTATTAATAATAATGATAATAGTAATAATAATATCACAATCTAATAATAATACAACCATCGTTATAACAGGATTATTAATAATAATAATAATAACAATAATAATAATGCAACCTAATAATAATACAACATCGTAATAACAGCATTAATAATAATAATAATAACAATAATAATAAACCTAATAATAATACAACATCGTAATAACAGTATTAATAATAATAATACAACCTGATAATAATACATCCATCGTAATAACAGTGTTATTATTATTATTATTATTATTATTATTATTATTATTATTAACAGTGGTAACTGTAATCTTGCTCATAATGATGATAATAATGAACGCGATATATAATGACGTCGTCGATGTTGAATGTAATAACGATGCTGATAATGATAATTGCCTTTTTTTAAAGTTATGTAAAGCTGGGCCACAGATGATACAGGAGTCGCCGTGTCTATGCCACTGACTATACAACCACCACTGTAGCCACTGTACTCGTAAAATTTCCCTTCTAATTTCATACTCTTTCTTTCTTTCTTTCTGTTTTCAATTCACTATAAAACTTTTCCTTGGAGACTGGTAAAGGAAAACCCAAGGAGTTTGGAGAGGGGTGTACTAAGGCAGTCTGGTAATTAAAAGGGGTGTGGTGTGGGTAATTATGTTGGAATTGCTAGCTGAAGAGGAATATGCTACATATTCTGGTCTGTGAATGATTAAGAAACAGGATTAACTACGTCATATGTGTGTGTATGTGTGTGTGCGCGCACGCGCGTGTGAGTGTATGTGTGTGCATGTGTGTTTGTGTGTGTGTCTGTGTGCCTGTATGTATGTATGTATTCACAAAAGTTTATTCAACACTAACGAAAGCACAATTTTTTTTATTGATTCTTTCTTCGATTATTACAATTTTTTTCTTCTCAGAGTCTATATATTTCTGTGTGTTTATATTGGGGTAATGTTTCGAGGGAATGATAGATATATAAGACAGTTTGTAAAAATTATCTTGGTATATTTTGCTGATCAGTTGGCATCATCAGCAAGAATATATCTATTTTAACACAATCTTTATTCAGTCAGTTTATATGTGATACACGCTTAGACGATCATGTGTCTTTTGATACATGACTGTCTTAGGCAGAAGTTTCTTCCCTCATTAGATTGCTGTTTCTTTCTGCGATAGACTGGTTGCCAACCAAGGCTAAAGAACACATTCTGTCCTGTTATTTAACCAATAGCTGAGGGTGGGGTGGGGAAATGGATCCATGCCTTTCCCACGAGTCATTATGTGTAAATAAATATAAAAAACTCGATTGGAAAGCGAACTCGGCTCTCCGAATTCTCATTCCGTTCTGGTCCGATATCCATTACACCACATCCTGTATTAACGAAACACTACTTGATATATGTTAATCATTTTGTTTGCCTAATGTTGAAAAAAATACATTTTTCTAATGATGCAGGAAGATCAGTGAAACATATAAATATAAGTATTCCAAATTGGTTTATTTTGTTGTTTTTTTTATTATATATACATGTATATCTCATTACTATAACTGTTATATTTGGTATATTAACGTATTCCAATATATACGTGTGTGTTTTTATACACGTGTATATGTGTGTCTTGGAATGAATAATGGTAATTAAATGAATTTAGATATATTTAGACATAATTATCTGCATATATATATATATATATATATATATATATATATATATATATATATATATATATGTGTGTGTGTGTGTGTGTGTGTGTGTGTGTGTGTGTGTGTGTGTGTGTGTGTGTGTATTATATTATATTATATTATATTTAATTATATTATATTATATTAGACTAGATTAGATTTTACATCCCGGTGTAATATATTATAATAAAAATATTACAATGATATTTTGCTATACGTTGTATTGAGCACTTTTTAAAAAGTAAATGTTAAGAACTGTAGATTCTTAATCTCTCTGTTCTTTCACTTTTCTATGAATCCTCTTCTTCCCCCGTCAGCTATGGATAAATACCAGGACAGATCGGGTTATATAGCTTTGGATATCAACTGGTCTATCGCAGAAAGAAATGGCAAACTACTGCGGGGAAAAAATTCTGCCTCGTCAGTCATGTATCGTCAAAGCTTGTATCATGCATGGCATATCTATATATATATATATATATATATATATATATATATATATATATATATATATTGTGGATTTATGCAGCGATCCCTCACTTATACATGTTTCATTAAACACGAAGAGAAAATACTAGGATTAAGTTTTTTATTTAATTTTTCTTGTTTTCCTTTCTACATGTGTGTAGAAACTATCTATTTTTCTACAATTCCGAGCGTTTTCGGGCATACATTTAGCCTTTATCATGGATGACTTTATTTTTCTTTTTAACTCGGTGTTTTGGGCTCTGTGCATGTTTCTAGAGTTATAGGGATATTTTATTCTCCGAGCACAGTTTACACAGTTTGGCGGTGTTCGTACTTAATATTACTGAATGTTGGCTTTTTCAATTTTACTAAGGCTTCCATTATTATTATATATATATATATATATATATATATATATATATATATATATATATATGTGTGTGTGTGTGTGTGTGTGTGTGTGTGTGTGTGTGTGTGTGGATGAGGTTTTTATGTTGTATTCTTTTTATATGTCCCGATGGAGTCTGGTAATTTTTGTGTGTGTTTAAATGGGTTCTAATGGAGCCGTGGTCGGATATGTGTAAAGGTAAGCCGTCTGGATAGGCATGTAGTTGTGTGACCTATGTAATTATTTATGAGTTCGGTTTGATCAGGAACACAATTTTGAACTTATACATAATTTTCGTATGTTGTAATTTTGATTTTGCATATAAATGTATATATGTGTCTATATATATATATATAAATACACGCAAACCCGCAAAACACATACATTTATATGTGCGTCTGTGTATAAGAATTCAGATATAAGTAAAAATATATCTGTAAAAGGACAATATGAATAAGCACAAAGGGAAAAAGTTCCGTCTTGATAATGTCCATCAGAGGATGAACATTTTGGCGAAATTCTTTTTTCATTCACACATACATACACACACCCACATGCAATCACACACACACACACATAGATAGATAGATAGATAGATAGATAGATAGATAGATAGATAGATAGATAGATAGATAGATATGAACAGACTGGGATAGATAGATACGAATAGACTGGGATAGATAGATAGATAGATATGAACAGACTGAGATAGATAGATAGATAGATAGATAGATAGATAGATAGATAGATAGATAGATATGAACAGACTGAGATAGATAGATAGATAGATAGATAGATAGATAGATAGATATGAACAGACTGGGATAGATAGATACGAATAGACTGGGATAGGTAGATAGATATGAACAGACTGAGATAGATAGATAGATAGATAGATAGATAGATAGATAGATATGAACAGACTGTGATAGATAGATAGATATGAACAGACTGAGATAGATAGATAGATAGATAGATAGATAGATAGTTAGATAGATAGATAGATATGAACAGACTGGGATAAATAGATAGATATGAATAGACTGGGATAGATAGATAGATAGATAGATAGATAGATAGATAGATAGATAGATAGATAGTGTACTTTTTAAATACGGTATTTTTGTGCAGTTGTTCATTTAATGATTTATTGTTACAGGCAATAGACATTTTATGCCTATTAAATTTATTGATCATTTTTCTATGTACAAATATAATTTCGCAATTAGCTTATGTAGATAAATTGGCTAACATTTATGTTGTGTTGTCCTAATCTTTCGACTCACCTGCTTTTTAGTTTGTTTGAATGAAAAAAAAAAATTGTTTTAAGAAGCACATTCTCTCGTTACGGTTTGAAAGTTTTATTATTTTTTTAAAGTGTCATTAGTTTTTGAAACTGGCATTATTTTTTTTAAAGTGTCGTTGACTTCTTTTCAACATTTATAGAGTGCTTCATTACATACAGGGTGCGATGGGTAAATTGCCGCCATTTTATATTTTTAATTGCGCGCATGTTCTTTGTTTACGTTTTTGTCGACTTGACAATATATTAGTGTCAGTTGGCCACTGTCTGTGAGAAACAAAGCCCCATGGCTCAATTCACTCCGCCATAAATTTAAAAACGACACGCTGTATTGCTTGTCATTCGCGCTGGAAGCTCTAATATGAATATTTCAGAGTGTTTTGGTGTCAATCTGAGGACGGTGCAGAGGTATCGGAAAGAGTTGGATTAGTCAAATGGTGTTTACGATAGAACGGCAGCTCGGAAAACTCACCCTGAGCTTTATAAAAAAAAACAAAACAAAAAACAAAAAGAAACTCTTAAATTTGTCGGTGAGGGCCTTAGACTCAACACGGGGTGTTACATCAAGTATTTTGAGGGGGTAGTGTTGCCCAAAAGGGTGGCTGCAGGAAGTCCCTATGTCTGGCAACAGAAATCTACAACATGCCACACAAACAGGAGAACCCATTAATGGCTGTCAGACAATTTATGCGACCATATCACCCCTTGTATCCGGCTACCTAACTCACCAAACTGCAAACCTTTTGATTATTACGTGTGGAGCGCAGTTGAGCGAGAGACCAGAAGTCTCCATGTAACACCAAAGATGAACTGAAGTCAAGGACTATGACAGCATTCACCAACTTAAACAAGGAGACCGTCCGAAAGAGTTGCAGGAGATTCCGAAGGCGTTTGAAGGCCGTGGTTGAAACCAATGACGATTTTATTGAATAAATGTTCTCTAGTTTTTCAAGATATTTTTTGCGCAATTTTGGTAAATATATCTGTTAAAATGAAATGTCAGTATTACTTTCATTTTTGAGTAATTTAGACGACAGTTTATCCATCGCAACCTGTATATACACATTATACATGCAAATTAATATTTATACCTGTTTTCTATTTCTGTTTTATATAAAATTAGATCTGTGTATTCAGTCTGTTTTATTTCTGTCTGTGGCTGCAAACATATATATATATATGTAAATGTATGTATGTATACGTGCATATATTTAAATGTTTCGTTTGAACATAATAATGTTATTCTTTACGTATATTACTTAAATGTATGCATACCTGTTTGCGTAAAAATATAATCAGGTAGAGTAAAAAGGAAAATATAAATAAAAACAAAAGGACAACTTATTTTAGTCGACGAATTCGTCAAATGGTGGATTTTATCCCGTCCTGGGTATAATGATAAACTACATCCGGCAGTAAGACCTCTGATTGGGAAGTTTTGAGGAATGTCGAACGACCTATTTGTTGCTGGTGTTCCCAGGTCCACCCTGATCCGAGGTGGTAGCACATGTTACGATCCCAGCTAAGGGCAAATAGTTAACCACCAAATTAGAGTCAAAACAGTATAAAAGTACTATCATTTTTATTGTAAAAACACCAGCAATAGGTTGTAAAAAATTACAAGCAATACGTTTTTGTAAAAAACAAAAACAAAATTAGCATCAAGATATTTCTGTAAGGAAAAATAATTAGCATCAATATATTTTTGTAAAAGAAATTACTAATGCCTCCAAGAAAGTTAAATTTTGGCATTAAATGACTCAGAAGGAGTTGAATAACAAATAAATAATAATAGATAGTCTTCATCATGACAAATACATATTTGTATATTTGTAATATATTTAAAAGTTTCTTTTCCTTATGCATTAGCTTTTCTTGATATATTAACTATTTTTACTTTATTTTTAATATTGAACACTTTATACATCTTTTAGCTTTTTAAAGTTTAGCTTTCGTAGGGACTTAGATTTTATTAAGTGCAGTACTAGATTGGCGGTAAAGTTTAGTCATTTTACAGTTGAAATTACTAAATGTAACCGTAAGTACTTTGCCAACAGTTTCACCTCTTGCACTTCTCGCGTGTGAAACTCTATCTCGGCTTATTGCTACCCAGCTAACTTTGATCTTAAATGCAATGTCAATCGTTATCTCCCGTCTTCTTAATTCATGTTTTGTTCTCTCTCCTTTTCTCAGATTCCTTTATACACAGTAACCTCTTGCGACTTAATGGCTTTATTGCATTACTTGGGATGAAATAGAAAAAAAAGAATGAAAACTCTAATTTACTTGACTTTGTCTTTTGTAAGGCGTTCCTGGTGTTATATATATACATATATACATATATATATATATATATATACATATATATATATATATATATATATATATACATATATATATGTGTGTGTGTGTGTGTGTGTGTGTAGAGAAAATTATATATTTGCAAATTCTTGAACTTATTTACAGTATACATATATATCAATTGGACATACAAACCGCTCTTATCAAATACACCGCTCGGAAAGGTATTACCAACCATACGGATCCACTTAAAGAAACACATTCTATCAACCAAAATTATATGAGCAAACGTACACTCACACGCGTGCATGCGCACAGACACACACACACACACACATATATATATATATATATAAACAGTCATCAAATGTTTCGTTTCATCTTCAACATAATCTTTCTTGTCAATGCACTTAATCCAGCGCTTCTCATTAATCACAGCTCGACTATTACACAGCGAATATCAAACCAATATTCAGCTTACGGCTATGTGAGGATAAGGAACTATTGATCAGCTCTCATAAGTATGTATGTGTATTTGCGTACGCGCGTATGAGAAATATATTATAGCTATCACCATCGTCATTATCATCATCATCAGCATCAACAGCAGCAGCAGTAGTAGGTCATATGATTGGGTGTGGTCGTAGCTGAGTACTTGACCATCTCCTTTCTTACGTCTTGGTTCCTCTAAATGATTTTCTAATCTTTCAACGACGGTGTCAGCTTATTTTTTATCCCCAGTCTGCCTCTCCTTCTTTTGCCTATGGTGGAACCTTTCGGGGTGGCAGTGAAAAGATTGTTGGATCCATACAATGATGTCGCCCAGTGTTTTACCGAACAAATATAGTAAAATTTCTTCCTTATCAAAGTAATTAACTCAAGTCATCTCCATTATTGTATAATTCAATCATTATATATTCAGTCAGTCAGTTATGTGCCATGGGTGATACACGCGTAGGCGATCATGTATCTTTCGGTACATGACTGACGGGGCAGTTTTTTTTCCCGCAGTAGGTTGCCATTTTTTTCTGCGGTAGACCAGTTGTCATCCAAGGCTATAGAACCCGGCCCTTCCTGGTAATTAACCATAGATGGAGGAAGAAGAAAAGGATTCATACTTTTCCCAAGAGTATTAGCACGTAAGTGAATGTAATGGATTCGACTGGAATTCGAACTCGGCTGTCCGATTCCTCAATCCGAGCTGCTATCCATTACTCCACCGATCTGTCCAATAACTGACCGAGGCTACAAACTTATTACAGTAAGAGAGTTTCATTTGGAAAAGGAAAAAATATATACTAGTTATGGGTACATAATTCCCCAAAGAATATCTTGCGAATAAAGGTTTTCCAAATTTCTTCTAAACAAAATCGGTTAATCAGTTAATATAAAGAAACAATATGAAAATGAAATCAATAAAATGACCTGTTACTTTAAATATTTTCAGCCAATCACATTTGGTCATATTTTAAATATTCCAGTGATTCGGCACCTCACAATAATGCGATCATAAAAAAAAATCCCTTATCACTAATTTCTAGATATTTACAAAACAATTTTTAGATGATTTCTTTTCAACAGGTTGTTTAATTTCAAGTTTCCAGAAATCTGAATGCTATAAAATCCATGATATGAAATCTGCCCTTTGCGTTAATTGCAGAAGAAATATTTAATCCGTTGGTATGCACAAAGAATGTGCTATTGGCATTTATGGTAATTTTATGTCAAGAGTATGAAAATATGTTTATATATACATACATAGATATATTAATATATAATCATGTGCATTAAATTAAACTTAAGTTATAGATACACACACGAACGCGTTTTTTTTTAAATACGTCTATTCATATTTATCTTGAATATATATGTCTAATAAAAATGCTATAATTATATGCTGAAAGAAGATATAATCTTTTTTGCAAAAAAGGTATGTAACAGTATCTAAAAAATGGTCAATAGAAGAAAAATGAAAAATAGGAGAATCTAAAAAAATGAAAGTAAAAAAGAAAAGAAAATGTTAGAGAAAAAGAAAAAGAAAAATGAAATAATGAAAGGAGCAAGAGATTAAAGAAAGAAAGAAAGAAAGAAAGAAAGAAAGAAAGAAAGAAAGAAAGGCTAAGAAAGAAAGAAAGGCTAAGAAAGAAAGAAAGAAAGAAGGAAGGAAGGAAGAAAGAAGAAAGTAGAAGTAATTAAAGAATGAATGAAAGAAAGAAGCAAAAATTTACAGAAAAAGAAAGAAAGTAAAAAAATAAAGTAAAAGGAAGGAAAGAATAAACGAATGAAAGACCCAAAGGTTACAGAAAAAGAGCGAAAGAAAAATGAGTGGAAGGGGCAAAAATTAAAGAAAAAGAAAGAGAGAAATTTAAAAAAAAAAAGAAGAAAGAATGAATGAAAGGAGTAAAAGATTTGAAAAAAAGAAAGAAAGTAAAAAAAGAAATCAAAAAAGGAAGAAAGAAAAGAAAACAGTTAAAGAAAAAGAATAGAAGTAAATAGTTAA